CTCAAATGATCCTCCCACCTCAGCCTCCCAAAGTGCTGGGATTATAGGCTTGAGCCACCATGCTCGACCTGTGTCCCCAATTTTAAATGGCCCCTTGTTCTTGTTCTCATAATCAGTGCTGAGTAGTGGCAAGGAGGAGAAAATGGGAAAGTTGGGATGAGAGAGAAGGCAGATCTAGAAGATAGAACACAGCTCAGGTGAAGGGCCAAAGTTCTCCTGAAATGATTCTTTAAGGCGACTTCTCCGTGTTCAACTGCCTCTTTATTCCTCTTTATTACATTCTTTTTATTTTGCCCCAGCCCAGAAAATATGGCCTAATTTTCTCTTCTGTTATCACAACTGCTTTTCTGCTCAGGATTCTTCTACCCCTTCAAGATGGCTGAAGAACGAGATGCTTTCTCTCCATATCTGTACTATTTCACTGTGAGTAAAACAAGTGTACATCTACTTTCTTTTTTTTCCAAAAATGTTATTAATAATAGTGATTGTGGGGAAAGAGGGCATACTACAACATAGATAAGAGGGAAACTACAAGCAATAAGAATTGTTTAAAATAAAAAGTCATTGATTTTAGTGATTCTTGGCCATTTTTGAGTCACAAAAGGGGAATGATGCTTATACAGCAGTGATTCATGTGGTTTAGAACTGAAGCAGAAAGATGACATTCATGTGGCCAATGATCATAAGAGAAAAAGCTCAACATCACTGATCATTAGAGAAATGCAAATCAGAACCACACTAAGATACTATCTAACACCAGTCAGAATGGCTATTGTTAAAAAGTAAAAAAATAACAGATGCTGGCAAGGCTGTGGAGAAAAAGGAATGTTTATACACTGTTGGTGGGAGTATAAATTCGTTTAGCCATTGTGGAAGACACTGTGGTGATTCCTCAAAGACCTGAAGACAGAAATGCCATTCAGCCCAGCAATCCCATTACTGGATATATTCCCAAGGGAATATAAATCATTCTATCATAAAGACACATGCACAAGTATGTTCATTGCAGTACTATTCACAATAGCAAAGACATAAAATCAACCTAAATGTCCATCAATAATAGACTAGATAAAGAAAATATGGTACATATACACCATGGAATACTGTGGAGCCATAAGAAAGAACCAGATCATGTTCTTTGCACAGATATGGATGGAGCTGGAGGCCATTATCATCAAACTAACCCAAGAAGAGAAAATGTATTCACTGCGTGTTCTCACTTATAAGTGGGAGCTAAATGATCAAAACACATGGGCCCAAAGAAGGGAAGAACAGACATTGTGTCCTATTGGAGGGTAGAGGGTGGGAGGAGGGAGATGATCAGGAAAGATAACTAATGGGTACAAGGCTTAATACCTGGGTGATGAAATCACCTGTGTAACAAACCCCCGTGACACAGGTTTACTTATATAACAACTCTGCACATGTACCTCTGAACTTAAAAGTTTAAAAAGTGAGCACACACCCCTCATACAGATATATTTTAATATATAATCTTCATATATATGACTACACTCATAGCACATATTACAAAGCACACACAAAAAAGATCAAGTACTTTGAGAAAGTAAGAAAGTATGCACAGCAATGACAACCTTCATACTAACTCTTCATAATAGCACATGATAGCCTAGCATCTTTCGCTTACAGTATGATGTTGGTTTTATATTATTACTGTAAAGGACAGTGGTGGCTCATATTTGCAGACTAGAACTGTCTCAAGATGCTATGATGCTCAATTGTGTTAACGAGAGTTCATAATCAATTAACCTAAGCTTGATGATGGTAACTGAATTTCCAGGTATACAAATCACCTTGAGAGTGAAGTGAAGTTCCCGGAAACTACACTGATCTCTGCTTGTATCTGCGGAATGGCGTATTATTTGAAAATGCGAGGGAACACATCTTTTCAGCCTAATTTTTCTTATAATTAAAATTACCATTTTAGCATTGGTAATTTCTTACCAGTCAGTAGTTTTAATTACTCACAATAAAGTTTTACGAGAGGCAAAAACAGAAACTGAAGCAGAGTGACAGTTAAAAAACCATAATTATTTGGTAATGTATATTTAATAATAAACATAAACTTACAAAATAACCTCAACTTCATCAATACTTCTCTTTTGCCTTTTAAATGTTTGTTTATTTACAGGTGTACAGATGTAGGAGGTACAAGTGCAGTTTTTTACACAGATAGACTGTATGGTGTTCATTAGTAATTCTTAGTCATTTTTAAGGAGAAATATGGTTCCCTGTGATACTTCATATTTCCATATGGATTTTTTTCCTTTTCTCATCTGCTCCCACATATGCTACAAATGTTCCCAGCCCTTTCCCCTTGATGCCCAAAATAAATTCTTCAAATACCCTGAGCCCAGGAACTATTTTAAATTTCATATACATTTTATGTAAAGGAACTGCGTCCTTCCATCACTGCGCCACTTCCTGGATTTTGCTCTACCCTACCTAATTTCTCACCAAAACACACCACCACCACTACCACCAAAACACTGCTGTGCAATGACAGGAGCCTCCTCAAAGGGCACTGGAGGGAAAGGAACTGTCTGGCAAACTATAAGGCACTGGTTCTAGTGTACTTTCTTGGCATGGAGGAGAAAAATTATAAAAGCACTTATTTGCTCATATGTTCATGTGATCACAGGAATGAGGCCTGACCTGTCATAATCCCCAGCCTAATTTCTGCCTCGACTTTTGTCTAAAACAGAGAAGCCCAACTGTCTGGTGGGCAGTTCCCACTGAGAGCACTCTTCCTCCGTAACCTGATTCTTAGCATTATCCTGGGTTTCTAGCATCTACCTGTTCTTGGGACCCAACTCCTAGTGCAGACCTTTCAGCTGGGAGTCCTGGGTCTTCCACAGCTTTTTGGAATTACAACAGCAATGATAATAATAATATTGGCAGTGTGGTTATGGATAACCTTCATAGGACACTCTCTCTGTGCCAGGTACTATCATAAATACTTAACATCAATTGTCTCCTCTGATTTCAAATTCCTGAGAGAATATTTCTAGTTATCTACTGCTGCCTAAAAAATTGCCACAAAACTTAGCATATTTTAAAAATACACTTTTTTTAAACTTTTGACCTCTTTTATTTGTTAAAAGAGGCACATCCATATTCATGAAATGATTTGATCATAATGCATTCGTTGATTATGCCTCTTGCCATCTTGTGGCATCTAGGCTCCTGGCTGAAACATTTTTATCTAACATTTCTATGGGTCAGGAATCCGAGTATGACTTACTGTGGTCTTCTACTTCAGGGTCACTCAGTCAAGGTGACTTTTGGGAGTAGAGTTATCTCAAGACTCAGCGGGATGAGGAATTTGATTCCAAGCTCATGTGGTCAGTGACAGGATGCAGTTCCTCATGGGCTGATGGACTAAGGGCCTCAGTTCTTCACTGACTGTTGGCCAGAACCTGTCCTCAATTTCTTGGCTCATGAGCCTTTCCAGCATGGCAGCTTCCTTCTTCAAAGGGTGCAAGCCGAGAGGGCAATAGAATCTGTTAAAAGATGGAAACCACAATCTTTTGTAACCTAATCATGGAAGTAACTTCCTATCTGTCACCTTTATCATATGCTATTGATTAGAATCAAGTCACTAGGTCCAGCCTACCCTCAGGGGAGAGGATTACTTACACAAGGACATGAATATCAGAGGTGGGATCCTTAGGGATCATCTTAGCAATCTTCTATCTCAAGACACGTTGGGGAAGGAGGGAATAAGAGCTGTTTTAATATTACAAAGACAATATCAAGACTAGAAGATAAGGTAGTCAAAATTGAAGCTAATAAAGGTAAGGGCTGAGGGTTGGAATGGAGAAGTACCTTACACAGTTTTTGATCTATAGTGTCTTTCTCGCTAACATCCATGTCTCCCAGCCCTAACATGAAGGTAGAGCTCAGGATATGGTGGGTATGAGACTAAAGGCTACATGAGGGATTACTAGAACATGGCACAAAAACTGCTTCTTTTCTTGGGAAAGTAAATGGAAAATAATGCTAATGGAGTAGTGGAGAGGAGCTGAAGATAAGCTATCTGAGCAAAAGCGACCCAGGGTTTCTATGGGGAGGAGAGTTTTGGCAGGGACATGCCACAGTATCAAATAAAATAGGGCAGAGCCAGGGCATAAACCAAATCTGAAATAAGCTATCCACAATCAAAGACAGTCAGGGTAAAGAAAACAAATTCCAGCCAGAAAACAGAAGGCTGGTTCTGGAAAGATTTTTTGAGGCAGTGCTACATAGAGCAGAGGTGAGGAGGAGAGGACAGGGAACATTTTTAGCAGCAGCTTCTAAAACGAATTCTATTTCATATGTACTTTATGAAAGGGGAAAAGATTGCAGGAATTTCAGAGCCCAGAAATCCCCCAAATTCCCAAAGCTCTATTATAATCCTTCTCTCTGGCACTCTCCTCCCCCTCCCACTGAAGCTCTTCATCTTGTCAGCAGAGCAAGAATCACGGAGTTCACATTCTGAACTTTTGTCTTGGAAATTTTCCAGTATCATAGTGTGGGGGCAATAAGTGGGGATTCGTTGAGGGAGGCAAGACAAACAATGTGAACAACCTTGAAGAAATGCCTTTTTAGTACAGAGAAAGAGAGAAGGAATCAGGAAGGGATTCCTTACCAAACCACAAAGGAGATAGTTTCTTCAAGGAACGCTGACTTCTCCAGCTTTTAGTGAGGAATTGCTCTCTGTGGTGATTAAGAGACCAGTGCCTTTTAATCAAAGGAGAGCCATACATTCAAATAACTGGGAACAGCTGAGTATCCCACCCAACTCTGAAGAGCAAAACAAGAGCTACAAGAACCCGCTCTTTCCTGCAGTATACCATACTGTTTTTTGGCTTATGATCCAAGGATATTACAGTTACTTTCAATGGTTAATGAATAGCTTCTAAGTGCCTGCTTCATTTAATTGTCCAAAGGCCAGTGGGTTCCAGAGCGTATAAAGCTGCAAGCTGGCTAATGAGCTCATTCTCTTGGAGCAAGCCGGGAAGCAGAGGAGTGGCAGCGGGTGCTGGGTTCCTAAGGTGCAAGGATGCAGAACAGAAGTGGCCTCCTTCTCTGTGTGCTTGCCCTCCTGATGGGTTTCCTGATGGTCTGCCTGGGGGCCTTCTTCATTTCCAGGAGCTCCACATTCAGCTGTCAGGAGAGCCTGATTGTGGCCTATTTGCTCCTGCCTCTGGGGTTTGTGATCCTTCTGAGTGGAATTTTCTGGAGCAACTACCGCCAGGTGACTGAAAGCAAAGAAGTGTTCAGGCATGTGCTGGGACAACACCTGGCTCATGGGGCCCTGCCCCTGGCCACCGTGGACAGGTACGTGCTGACAGGCAGAGAGACCAAGGAGAGCTGAGTCAGGCTGATTTTTATAAGATCCGAGTAATTTCTGGTCCTAGTATGGAGTGCTTACATGTCCCCTGGGTTGTCTGTCTAGAACCAAAGCTTTATTGTCAGGGAATTACTCTGATGTTGTTATTAGGAAGAATGGCGCCATCTTGGGGGAAAACCATGATGCAGGGGCAACTCATCTCAGAGAAATCCTACCACCACCCTCAGTTCAAACCCACCTAAGCCAATTCAGAAACCCAGGCTCTTTCGTTATATCTTGGCAGCTGTCACTCATTAGTGCCAGGTGATAATTACTTCCATAACCTGGCTCTAAGGTTCTAAGGAAAGTAAGTCCCAGACAAAATTCTGTCACACAACAAATGAGCAAGCAGGCATAAATTGAGTCCTGGTACCTCTGTGAGCTCAGAGAAGTCCCAGTTTACTGTGCTTTTAGGTGTTGTGATCTCACCTTACATAAAACATTCCTTCAGGTGATAATAGTCTAGAGGTAAGATTCATTCCATCTCACCACCTCGCACATTAGGCTAGTTGTCATCAAAAACAAAAACAAAAACAAAAACAAACCAGCAAGTGTTGGTGAGGATGTCAAGAAATTGGAACCCTGTGTATTGCTGGTGGGAATGTTAAAATGGTGCAACCACTGTGGAAAACAGTGTGGAGATTCTTCTATACATTAAATATAGAATTATCATTTGATCCAGCAATTCTACATTCTGAGTTTATACACAAAAGAACTGAAAGCAGGGACTCAAGTGGATGCTTGTACACCAATGCTTGTAGCGACATTATTCACAATAGCCCAAAGGTGGAGACAGCCCGAATGTCTATCAACGGGTGAGCAGCTAAACAAAATGTGGTATATACATGCAATGGAATACTAACCTTAAAAAAGAAAGGAAATCCTGGTTCATGCTACCACTTGGATGAACTTGAAAACATTATGCTACGTGAAAGAAGTCAGTCACAAAGGGCAAATCTTGTACGATTCCACTTATATGAGTACTTAGTCAAATTCATAGACACAGAAAGTAGAACAGTGGTCCCAGGGGCTGGTGGAAGGAGAGACTGGGGACTTACTGTTTAATGAGTAGAGAGTTTTAAGGTAATGGTTGTAGAGCAATATGAGTGTACTTAATGCCACTGAACTATACACTTAAAGACAGTAAATTTTAGGTTATACATATTTTATAAGAAGAAAAACAAGATTCAGTTAATCTTGTAGTCAGTTATCAGGCCATAAGAAACCTCCTAATTCTTGGCTAAACACAGGACCATTTAGGGATAAAACCCTAGGCATCATTCTTAAGATACAGGCTATAAGACTATAAATTATTTTGCCCTCTTCATGCAAGAGCAGAAAGTACCTAAAATATTTTAGCAACTCCATCTATTTTGAATATAAGTAATCTTACCCATGAGGGTCCACTTTTGACATGCTTTATGATAATCAATGAGATAAGAATTATGATAACCAAAACTTATTTCCAATGTTATTATACTAACCATCAGAGTTTCTGGATTTGATTAAAAATTAAGATAAATGAAGTGATTATAGAAGATACCTCTAGAGTGATTATTTCATTTTTGTATAAATGTTAGAGGACTACCTCAAGAGTGTGATTTCCTGATAAATGTAACTGATTGCCTTTTGGATATAGTTTAAATCAACTAACACATGCATAATGTTTGGAAGTAAATTATGGACATTATTACACCCCCATTTTACTGCCTCTTCCTACTGCATGTAACTAGATGCTCATTCCATACTAGTAAGTCAGCCTGGGAAGTCACATTTCTCCAAAGCATTTGCGCTCAAAATGGATACCCACGTTGAGATACCAAAGCCAATGGGTCTCTAGTGATGGAATTCAGGCGTCTGGGAATATGGATGGCAGTTGAAGGAGGGTGGGGCTGAGCGAGGTAGTTGGGATTTAGGGAAGGAAACAGTCGTCCTGGAGCCTTTTAAATCACAGCTCACCTTTCTGTGTAAAATGCCTTTACACATGTGCCCCATGACTCAGCCTTGGCTATTCTGAGTGAAGGCTGAGATTTATGCCTTACAGTAGACAGCTTCAGCTATTGGCTTTGGGCCTGGTAACATTTGGAATGGAGTTGTGGCTACAAATGGCAGGCCCTGTTCTGTTGTGGTTACATATCATAAACACTCCCTGTAGGTGCTGGAAGGAGTCGATCTATAAATACACAACTCAACCAAGCTCACCAGTCTCTCTTCCTCCCCTCTCCCTGTCTCCCAATCTCATTCATGATGGAGAAGCCAGAGGATTTAGCAATTAGCAATTCTGTGCAAGATGACCAATGAGTATATCAGCCCCCAAATGAATGGCTGCATTAGCCTGTTGGCATAGAAAGGGCTGCACCTGAAATCTGCATTAAGTTGTCAGTCGATATCATTGAGAAATGAGTATGCTTGTATGTTTTTTTGAAATTAGCTACTGAGTCTTGAAAGGGTGTTAGGATAGAGTCATGGCATCTGGTATAGTTCAGGGATCAGCACATAGTTGGTTTTCATTCATGATTTTGTTGGCTGTGATGATAAGAGAAAGTGAGGGCAATTGAAGGAATGATATCATGTGAGAATGGGAACAAGGATGGACTAAGTAACAGATAGAGAGAAGTTTCCAATCCAAAGCCCCATATCCTCTACTGTTGACCAGGATCTCACACTGAATGGCCCTGTTTCTATAAGTGAATGAGCAATAGAGAAGGAATAGCTTGGAATAACCGACTGGGAAAAAACGACTAGAAGCACGCATCCTGTGGCTGATAAAAAAGCAGCACATTTTTAAAAAACTGGTGATGCCAGAAAGAAGTACATCTGTTTCAAAAATCCATGTTTCTTAACAGTTTAGCTTTGCACAATTTGAGCTGAGAGAGGCAGCCGTCTGCCTCTTTGGCATTAATGCCTAAATAACGCATGCCTGTTTGTGCTGTTTTGTTCCACAGGCCAGACTTTTACCCTCCTGCCTATGAAGAGAGCCTTGAGGGGGAAAAGCAGAGCTGTCCTGCAGAGAGAGAGGCCTCTGGCAATCCTCCACCTCCATATACAGAGACAGGCCTGGAATTCCAGGATGGAAATTACTCCTACCCAGAGGCCCCACCATCTTATAGAGAGTCCATAGCTGGCCTGGTGGTGACAGCAACTTCAGAGGATGCCCAGAGACGAGACCAAGAGTGCTGAGGCAAAGGAAGCTCTCCAGCACTCATGACGCCGCCACTGTGGGGAGCAGCTACTGATAACAAAGGCAAACCGGGGACTGTGGGAGGAAAAGCCATATCAGGAACCCCTCATGAGGGCTTGCAGAGGACATGACAGCCCTGAATTCCAGATGTAATTGGCCATGCCAGGGCAGGGCAGGCCAGGGGCCCTGGAAGGGTGTGGCCGACACCAAGCAGACATTTCAGAGGATTCACACTACTCCTAACCCCGGTAGGCCTTGGGCCCCCAAAGGAGTTACTCTGAGAGCTCTGCTTACAGAGAATCTTTCTGCTCTCACTCAATTTCCCTCCCATCACCTCAGCTCTAGACAGGGAGGAATAGATGCTGGCTGTCAGGACAGCCACATGCCTTCCTGTACTATATCACCTAATAATCTCAAAGGGAAGGTTTGTTGTTTAATTTATTGATTGTTCAGCCTTTCGTTTTGTTAGCTTGTTTCCTAGTTACCTCCAGCTGACTCCGGAGCGAGGCAGTACTTCACATCCTGGGATATACATCCTTGGAGCCCATGAATGTTATTTTGTATTATTTTATTTCCATGCTATGTATTTTTTTCTATCTAAAAGGAAAATGAATGTAATATTTGCCTTCAAGATGGTTCAAACACAAAATGTTAAATGAGTTGTTTTTTAAAAGAGGTCCTTATAAGCAGACATGATAAGATTGCTTCTAGACCCAAATGGAAATGACAGAATACTTATTCATCATGGAATTCTGGGGTGTAGGGTGGAACTTGTACTGGCCATAGATGGTATTAATATACCATTTTATATAAATCTTATAAAGTTTAAAAATATTTATATGTAATTCAAAGAATCCTCATATAAATCTCTAGAATGTAAAACATAAGAAATTCTAATGGTATTTGTTCATCATTAACAGGAAACTTCTTGTGTCTCAAGATATAGACCTTGACTTTTAGACTCGGGACATGTATTTTTAAATCCACTGGTTTCTCCTCAACTTTATTAGATTTTATTGTTTTGTTTTTTAAATACAAGAGGACAAGTCTGGTGGCAGGGTGGTAGAAAGAGATGCAGCTTTTGAACTTGGGCCAAGAATCTTCATCTCTCCAGGCCTCAGTTTTCTTCTCTGTCAACTGAGGCATTCATGCTAGCTTCATCGGTGTAGAATGCCTGTTATATGGCAGGCTGTGTGTCATGAGCTTTTCATGAGTGTTATTTAGTCCTCAATCTATCTTTAAGAGATAGGAACTATGATGATTCCCATTTTACAGATGTATAAAACTGAGATTTTGAGAAGTTAAGAAACTTTCCCAATAACACAGTGACTCCTAGGAGGATGAAGAAGGCTTCCCTACAGGGACATGGGAGGACCTACTTACTTCACACTTTTGAGCTCAGTAGCCCTGTCTTCTTTCCTTCTAGGGAACAGTTTGGATTTCTTTCTCCCTTCAGAAAATGGCCTCTAACAGGTAGTGGAGCCCCAGGATTGCTGCAATATCTTAAAGCCCTTGGAGCAACAGCAGAGTTTGCTTTAGGGTCAATTGGCTTCTTTTAAAGTGTGTAAAATGTCCACGAGGTTTTCTGCCTAGAAACTGGTCCCTCGCCTCATATGTAGTTTCCTTCTGATCGTTATATGAATGATGAAGAATAATTCCCAATGGAGACAGACCTCGGTGAATAGGAACAGGAAGGGCTTTAGACAGTTGGTGAGAAGGGTGTAGATCATTCAAAGAGGAAGAGGGTAATCAAGATGGGGTGGGGCCTCCTCCCTGGCCTCCTCTTCTCCATCATTGCTGAGTACATAGATTAAGTATATCCTGACAAATGCATAAGAAGCCTCATAAAAGGAAATCTTTGTCCATGAAACATGAATTTGGGAATCTGTTATTTGAATCCTTCGTATTGAGGGCATAAAGATATGAAGGTCACTCATGGTTGTCCAATAAGGAAGTGATCATTTATTAGTAATGCAATTTATTATTCCTCTCTTGTCATCTCTTTCTGTCCCTCTACGAAGACAGTTACCATGAAATTCTCCCTGGTGGTCTGAGCACATTCATTGACTTGAACTAACACCATTATTGGTGTTTGTTTGCATTCGTAATATGTAGTTTTTCCAACTACTGATAGTCAAGTGAAACAAATGTTGATTTTGGTTTACATAAGAAATGGTTTTAATCATTTTACTGCAATAAATTTTGTACTTAAATTTCCCTTTTGTCATTTTTGTTTTGCATTAGAAAAAAATCAATAAAAGACCATAAGTCAAGTTTTATTTTCTATGTTAAACTAACACAGTGTCAGGATGAGTTGATCTTTCTGCAAACCCAAACATTACTGGACTCTGTTGATCTGGAAAATAACCTGGGTGTATCTAGTTATTTGTTGATTTTTTTTAAGCATATGTACTCTGAATCATGTGTCAAGAACATGGGTAGAACACAAAGCAAATTCTACATTCGAGAGACCCAGCAAGGAAAATCCACTGGACCAATCAGACAAAAGTATCCTATTGTGGTTCATAATAATATATTAATCATCCCTTAGGGAAATAGAAACTGCCTCTGCTCTTCCTTCTCAAGTTTATGATAAAATTAATGGTAATGAATTGTTAACCACAATTCCATGAATGACAGGTAGAGCACTTGGAGCATGGGAAAGTGAAAAGAGAAAAATCTCCACTATAAAGAGTCTTTGCTCATTCTCTTCTCTCAGTTGTGGATGGTAAGTACACATGTCAGTGGGGAAGGGAAGTTCTCAGGGTTGAAGGCCCTCCAGTATTATAATCACATAACATCCCTCTGAGCTGAAAGAGTAGCCCTTACCATCACTCCAGAAGGTGAAAATAAGATCAGTTATCCTCAATTAGAAAATAAAGTCTACTGCATCTTTTGCATATCTGAGATGTACTGTGTTCATTTTTGACCCTCCATGTGGAACTTCACCAATGCTTTTATTGACACTCCTATCATTTAAGAGTCTATTTAAATATACTGTCTTTGCTGAGGCATTGCTCTAGCTCACCTACACTGCAGGGTACATATTAGGTGCAAATAGGCATGGAAAGATAATAAAGACATGGACTTATAATCTCTATCTTCTCCATATTCTATAAAGTTCCTTGACAACCTAGACCAACTCACATACCAAGTGGGCTATCAACTGTATGAGCTATTTCTCCTAAAAGGGACTCAGCTGGTCGGAGCAGAACAGGCATTCTGCTAAGCTCTGCTGCTTCAGATAATCTCTTGCTGTTTCTAACTGTCAAAGGGCCAAAGACTGATTTACTGGCAGTTACATTATTTCCAAAGGCACACAGTTTCTCAGACCCTTCTATACTCAGGGATGGGAAACTCCTCAAGACATGTGGAGCTCAAGACATTTCAGCATCCATGTGTTTTGAGAGTAGCCAGTGTGTGATCCAGCAATGGAATGGAGTCACACAGTTGTGTCATTATCAGCTCCTGCAGGTGCTTTTCAAATTCCCCACACCTATCTGGATGTCAAAGTAAACCCATGCCATACACTGATCCATGGAACTGTGCATCAAGCTGAGACTTCTGTGCAGAAAGCTTGCATGTCATGTGCAAGCCCTTCAGCCTATGTCATGCAGCATGATTTGTCCCACAAATACTGTGGATGTATGCTGCACTTAGATCAGTAAGAGTTGATAAATGATCACATTTTAATAATGACTGCCTATCCATTTTCAAGGACATTTAATAAACTCCAGAATCCTGGGTGATGCAAAACAAGTTTTTGTTCTGGGGGACTGGCTGACACCTGGCAGAATGTTTAGTGTTGGGATTTACTCAGGGTGGCTGGCAAAACGTTAGGCAAATATTAGGGAAAGTTATAAGATTATAGTCTCAAACCTTTTGGAAGGCTGAACAGTTTTAATGGAATGGGCTGAAGGCAGCCAGTTTATTACATTAGAATTTTAAGTCATAAGGTAAGATTAGAATAATAATAAAGCTTCCTCAGTTAAGTCTGTTTACCCCACATCCCTTTGTCTCTACTCTGTTTACTCATGTAAACTTTGTGCTGGATAGTCCTCTCAGGGGGAGGTCGAAGGGGAATTACCCATTAATGGTGTTTGCTCTAGGCCCCAGAACCAAGACCTTTTATCACTCTTAAAACCACTCCTTTTTCGTATGTTTTTATATAAAAAACTGCTCATGATCACTGGTCATTAGAGAAATGCAAATCAAAACCACATTGAGATACCATCTCACAGCAATTAGAATGGAGATCGTTAAAAAATCTGGAGACAACAGATGCTGGAGATGATGTGAAGAAATAGGCCAGGCACGGTGGTTCACGCCTGTAATCCCAGCACTTTCGGAAGCTGAGGCGGGTGAATCACGAGGTCAAGAGATCGAGACCATCCTGGTCAATGTGGTGAAACCCCGTCTCTACTAAAAATACAAAAAATTAGCTGGGCATGGTGGCATGTGCCTGTAATCCCAGCTACTCAGGAGGCTGAGGCAGGAGAATTGCCTGAACCCAGGAGGCGGAGGTTGCAGTGAGCCGAGATCGTACCATTGCACTCCAGCCTGGGTAACAAGAGTGAAACTCTGTCTCAAAAAAAAAAAAAGTGAAGAAATATGAACACTTTTACATTGTTGGTGGGAGCGTAAATTCATTCAACCATTGTGGAAGACAGTGTGGCAATTCCTCAAGGACCTGGAAATAGAAATACCATTTGAGCCAGCAATCCCATTACTGGGTATATACCCAAAGGATTATAAATCATTGTATTATAAAGATACATGCACACGTATGCTCATTGCAGCACTGTTTACAACAGCAAAGACTTGGAACCAACCCACATGCCCATCAATGATAGACTGGATAAAGAAAATGTAGCACATATACACCATGGAATACTATGTAGCCATAAAAAAGGATGAGTTCATGTCCTTTGCAGGGACATGGATAATGCTGGAAACCATTATTCTCAGCAAACAGACACAAGAACAGAAAACCAAACACTGCATGTTCTCACTCATAAGTGGGTGCTGAACAACAAGAACACATGAACACAGGGAGGGGAACATCATACACCAGGGCCTGTTGGGGGTGGGGGGTGTTGGGGATTTTAGCAGGAGGTGGGAGGATTGGGGAGGGATAGCATTAGGAGAAATACCTAACGTAGATGACGGGGGAATGGATGCAGCCAACCACCACGGCATGTGTATACCTATGTAACAATTCTGTACAATCTGTACATGTACCCCAGAACTTAGAGTATAATAAAAACACTTTTTTAAACACTCTTTTAACCATGTTAATTATCCCCAAGCATGTTGACTTAGAACTGCTGTTATTAAATCTATACTGAATAAATGTGAGGAAGAACAAGGAATAGTGGTCAGTTAGCTGCAATCGCCCTCTGAGAGCAGCTGACGACCATCTCTAGCCCACTCGGATTCCCTGTATTCTAGTGTGTGTGAGTGCATTCATTCATCCAGTCGTTAAGTCAGGGTCTGCAGGACAGACATCTGCAGGTGGTGATCAATGTTTCAGGTGTTGACCCCAACAAAATCAATGTCACAAGTAGTGACCCCGATGTGACCAACATCTCAGGTGGTGACTCAACATGATCAAGGTCTCAGGTGGTGACCCCAATGTGACACTTGTCACAAGTTAGCATGTCTGGTTCCCTAGTACTGCCACTAAATGCCTCTCTGGAAAATACACACACACATTTCCCAACATCCACCCTGGGTAGGTGGTGATCCTGCCCTGGTTGAAAACTAGCAAGTGATATATAGTGTTGCTTGCCATTTTTCTGCAGGCACATGGTGTAGTGAGGGAACCCCTCTGTAACAGCAGATCACCAGAGTTACCCTGACAGTTGCCACTCTACCCATAGTTTCCTCTAAGATTGATTCTTGTGGTTCCCATGAAATTTTGGACCTTTAAAGTCATTTACTTTATTTTTTTGAGATGGAATCTTACACTGTTACCTGGGATGGAGTGCAATGGCATGATTTCAGCTCACTGTAACCTCCGCCTCCTGGGTTCGCTCAATTCTCCCCAAGTAGCTGGGATTACAGGTGCATACCACCACAGCCGGCTAATTTTTTGTATTTTTCCTCAAACTCCTCACCTCAAGTGATCCACCCATCTCAGCCTCCTCAGCCTCCCAAAGTGCTCAGATGACAAGTGTGAGCTACTACACCTGGACTAGAGCTTCACCTTTAAGAACATAAAGAACATTGTATAAGGAAGAGTGACTTCCTGCCTCTCATGTTTCCTGAGAATTGGGCAAGAGGACATACACATGTAGTTCAGCAAGAGGAGTTTGGAATTCATGTAAGGCTAAAATAGTATCTTGGCAACGTGAATCATAGCAAGTTCCAGAGAGTAACTGTGTCCTAGAGCCACAAAGGATCTTCCCTTGACAACATAACTGAACAAAACTCTGTAAAAATAGGCAGCTATGCAGCTGCCTCTTCCAGTGGCTGGGCCCAAGGCTTTGCTCTGCCTGACATTCACAACCCTGTGCCTGCTTCAACCCCATGCGTGCAAGCCAACTCCTCAGGAGACCCCAAGCAAGTCTCCTCTCCAGCCATCCTAACCCTCACCTCCTAGTCTGTCTTCTGACTTCACTCATCCTTGATGAAATGATATAAATGCTTATAAATCCCAAGAAACTCTGCTCTTAGAGAAACCACTCTTGTGCCACCATCTCTGAGTCTATTGCCCCTCTCTGTGTATTCCCACAGCACATTATTTATGCCTCTCTTGTAACATTTTTGTCTACCTGATTATTTGTGTATGTTTGTCGTAGCCTCCTATTCCCAAATTATAAACTCATAAGATCAGGAATAATGTTTTATCCATTACCCTGCCCCATCTAAAACAGAACTCTGCCTAGTTGAGTTGCTCAACCAATAGTCACTGAATGAATGAATGAATGAATGAACAGAGGGATGGATGAATGGATGGGTAAATATATATTTGGGCTCCTGGACACACATAACTCCATATCAAAATAAAGAAATATAATTTTTGTGTAAGGACTAATTTACATTTGAACTTACAAGTCAGAGATAATTCTCAAGTTCAGCAATTTGAGAAAATAAATATTTTCTTCCCTAGAGCTGATACATCTAAGAATACATCTTAGTGTCCCAACCAACACATCCGTGATTAATGAACACGTGGATGGCTAGCATAGATGTCCACTCACGAGACAATAACCTGAGAACCAAAGCTATGATGCGAATTTTATTCCATTGGTGATCAATCTCGAAATGGTTTTCTTTTTTTTTTAGAATTTCA